GAATTTTTTTCAAGTTTAGCTAAATGCCGACAAAAAATACCCCAAACTGAATTTTTTTCCTCAGAAAATCCGGCAAATTAAGGCAGAAATCGTATAATAAATTCACGCGTAATGTCCATTTAAATTCATAATAGCGAAAAGTAAAACCGTTTTTTAAAGAGATGGCTAGTTGAATCAGCTGATTTTAAATTTATGTAGAAATTGTTTGTTAAAAAATTAAAATTAAAAAGATATTAAAAATATTATTAATACAGTTTTATCTTCATTAAGTCACCATCTTATCATATAAATATCTAGTCATATCGTCATATGCATAACCATTATTTAACAAAATGTATCTCAAAATGTATATATCATAAATACATTATTTAATATTGATTTTAGAAATTAATGAAATGGCAATTAATTGTTGATAAATATTAATTCTCAGCACACTAATGTTAAAGTATTATTATTGATATTTCGACGATAGAATTTAACTCTTTGGCTGTAGATGACTGAAATAAAATTTTTTACTGTCTGCTAATTACGACTTCATTCTTTTATTCATTCATTCATCCCTTTAACTATTCATTTATTCGATTACTCCTTTACTCATTTATCCACAAATTCATTTCTTCTTTTCATTCATGCATTGAAAGCTTTGACGAAACTGTGATGAACATGTACACATACCTACACACATACATACATACACACATACATACATATTAGACGGTTGATGCTGTGCTAGGCAACTTAAACAATGCTACTACCACTACTTAACAATAGAATACTATTACCACTAATAGCAGTTGTTTATACACAGATTTTTAAATATTATTAAGAGGAAAACAAGTAAAAGATGGCGACGATGACGATGATGACGTGACTAGAGTGTTGATTACTTCATCATCATCATTTTCTTTATCATTATTATCATTTTTGTTATCATCATCTCTATAAACGTCGTCATCATCATCTTCTTCATCATCATCATCTTCTTCTTCATCATCATTTTCAGAATCATCACCATCACGTCATCACCAGAGCGAAAAGACTCGTGATATTTCGGGAACGAAGTTTCTCACAAGCAATGAAAGGCAAGGCTGGTAGAGAGCTGCACACAGCGCTGGTAGAGAGTTGGGACACACACACACAAACACACACCCACACAAAACACACACGCACACAAAACACACACAAAACACATACACATACGCATATATATATATATATATATATATATATATATATATATCCATACATAAGTCAACTAATTCCATTTTACCACCTAAAACCTAAACCTTTGTGAAAAGCATATTCACAGGTGAATGAGATAAGAGAAATAGAAAATAGAAAAAAAGAGAGAGAGGAAGAAAGAGAGAGAAAGAGAGATAACGAGGGAGAGAGAGAGATGATAGATAGGTAGGCAAATGATAACTTGAATGAATAGAAGACAATTAAGTTTGCTTGAGAAGCAGCCTGCCAGCAAACTAAAATCTAAAGCTATGTTGCTATGCATACATCTTTTCATCACACTTCAAACATACATGTACGTATGTATGTATGTTTGTATGTATGTATGTATGTATGAATGAATGAATGTGCATGTATGTATGTATGCATGTATGAGTGTGCGTGTGAGTGTTTGTGATTGTGTACGTGTGATTATGTGTGTGTGTGTATTTAAAATAATTTGAATGTTTCAAATATACAAACTTGAAATTCTTTTTATGAAATGAAAAAACAGCCGTTTTAAAAAGAATATATAGACACATACACACATACACATACACATACATACACACAGACACATACACATACACACGCGCACACATGCACATTTACTTAAATACGTACATACAATACGCACATAAATACACACGTAAGACCTTAAAGATTCAAAACTTACCTTTAAGGGCCTAAAGTCCAAACATTATCAATGATACATCCATAGTTTATCATGTGAAATGTGTGTATCACGATTAGAATATTATTTATGCATGTATTTATGTACGTATGTATGTATGTATTCATGTATATATGTATTTTATTATGTGAAGAGTGTGACAGATGTGTTTTGTGTAGTGTGACATGGATGCATTATGTGAAGTCTAACTAACAAAATGAAGCAATTGTCACCCATCTACCTCATATCATGTTGTTAAACGTGTAAGCTTCACTCTGAAGATATTCGGTCAGTTTTTATAAAAACTCTGCAAATGCTTCTACATGCTACATAAATGGTTTGTATTTGTAAAATGCCAATCATTCCACAGAGGTCGATAGAAATAGATTGGGTATTTTTGGAAAGTTCATTTGTTTGTCTGTCTGTTTGTATGCACGTAGTGTGTTTGTTTGAATGTTTGTATTCTATATATGAATGTTTGCATGTGTGTGTGTGTGTGTGTGTGTGTGTGTGTGTGTGTGTGTGTGTGTGTATGTATGTATGTATGTATGTATGTATGTATGTATGTATGTATGTATGTATGTATGTATGTATGTATGTATGTATGTATGTATGTATGTATGTATGTATGTATGTATATTAAAAGAATATAGAATATATTTTATTTAATATTTTAGGATATAAAATTGCATATAGTGTATATAGTTTTATAGAGTTATATAGGTTTATATGTATGAAAAAATTGACTGTAGATAAATAAACTTGGAAATAGATGATTTAACGAATTATTGAATAAATAGATGAATGAAATATTGAATAAATAAATAGTTGAATGAATGCTGTACTAAAGAGAGTGAGTGAAAAAGGATGATTGGATGAGTTAAAAAATGAATAAAAAGATGTTTGGATGGAAAAATGCAAGCTCAAGTAAACAGCTGTTGCTTGCTTTTGGCAGAATCAAAACAATCTCATTTGTTAACATCTTATATGCATAGAAACCTTTTATAAACTCTCTCTCTTTCTCTTTTTTTCTCTCTCTCTTTCTCTCTCTCTATTTCTCTCTCTCTTTCTCTCTCTCTATTTCTCTCTCTCTTTATATGTTTGTGTGTGTGTATTCGTGTGTGTTTTCTGTTATATGGTATGCTATTGGTCTTACATTTTTTTAAAGCCTCATTTTCTGTGATGATGAAAACATATGAATATTGAAAAGAACATTAGCGACGACGACGATGATGGATGGAAGAGAAAAAAGAAAAATGAAGAAGAAGATGATGATGATGATGAGGAGGAGGAGTTCCTTAGCAAACTTACTTCAGAGTTACTGAATCAAGCTTGAAACCGACCTATAGGTCTGTATTGTTTTTCTTTTGGTTCTTTAATAATGTTATTATTATTATTATTATTATTATTATTATTCATTGTTTTTATTGATTAATAAAATCGTTATTTATTTGTTTGTTTATTTTAATTTTAATAAAACAAACCAATTTTTTTTAAATGCTTTGAAAATTTAACCTCTGATTCGCTAGCGTTATAAAACCGTTTAATTTATTTCATATAATCGTTAAAGACCGAATGTTAATAAATTAATGAAATAATATAAATAATGAATAAATTATCAATAATAAAAATTAATGAAATATTATAAATAATAATAATTTGAGATATATAAACGAATAGATGAATAAATGAATGAATGAATGAACGAACGAACGAACGATTGAAACGAACGAACGAACGAATGAATGAATGAATGAATGAATGAATGAATGAATGAATGAACGAACCAAGAAAAGAACGATTGAATGAATGGGTGGGTGAATGCACAACGGAATAACCAACTAACTAAATAAATGAGTAAAATGATAAATTTCACCAAGGACTTTGATGGCAAACCCACCACCATCACCATCATCATTGTATGTAACGAATGACTGGTTTCTATGGTGTCTGTCTGTAGTTTTCCTATTCGCTTTCACTTCTCTGTTCGTCCAAATACCAGGTAACCATCCCGTTTTAAAATATAAAATAGTTATATTATGTCATAATATGTTCATATTAAGAATTATGTGATGAAATTATAATAAAATATGATTTAAATGCTAAGTTATTGTGAGTATACAGTTCAAAAGTTATCAGAAATGAAATTATTTTGATATTATCGTGGGTTAATCGTTAGGATGATATTGGGATGGTTGTTGGCAAGTTTGAGGCCTTAGCCTCCTAGAAAATGAACATTTGTTTTTGATTTAGCCTATGATTAGCAAGTTGTTTTTATTTGTATTAGGTTTGTTTGGAGAAAATGGAATTTCCCCGGCTGAGCTTGTAATATCTAAAGGTGTGTTTGGCTGTTTGTTTGTTTGTTTGTTGTTTGTTTGTTTGTTGTTTGTTTGTTGTTGGTTTGTTTGTTTGTTCGTTGTTTGTTTATTTGCTAATATCAATAATTATTATAACTAGACGCGGAATCAATAGCAGATTTCATCAGCAACAAGCCAACTCTACTCAAAATATTACCAAAAATCGGTTGTTTTTTTTAAAGTAATTTTTTAATTATTTTAACAATTTATATAATTAAATTAAAATCATGATTGAGTATTTTCCAATCACACACTTAACTTAGCACGTGATAGACGGGAACCTCTTGGCATTCGAACTCAGTCAATGCGACATCACTGTCAGACACTTTAACCATTACTTTATTATAAATTACACACCAACAACATAGGACTGGACATTGATTTGGGGCTTGATTTCTTATGCGTTGGGGGTCTTACGGTTTCCTTCGTTTCAATCATCTCCAAAGACCACCGAAATGCACTGGTAGCCCTTCTGCAGTGGATCTTCTACCTCTCCATCGCTCAAGTTTGAATGCACGCTTCAAACATTTCATTGAACAATTTTTTCTTAATTTTATTCATCTCAATTGAAGCCAGACGATGTTTCATCTGTACACTATTTATACATTGTAAATTATCCGTACATTAATTTTTGTTTAAACTTCAATATTTTAGTTCATTCTTCTGTTATTTGTTTCATAGTTATGGGCAAGGGGTCATGTAACGAATGACAGGCCTTATTTCTTAATAATAATAATAATAGTAATAATAATAATAATAATAATAATAAAATAATAATAATAATAATAATTTTATATTTTGTTATTTGATAATAATAATAAAATAATAATAATAATAATAATAATTTTATATTTTGTTATTTGATTATCATGATTAATATCCTTTCAGGTCGGTCATGTATTTCTTTCCTACAAATGGTTACTACATTTCCTTCAACTTCGTCGTCGTCATCACCATTACTGCAATCATCATCATGGCCGATTCAATTATCACCATCATCATCATCACCATCATCATCATCATCGTCATCACCTTCATCATCATCAACACCTTCATCATCATCATCATCACCATCATCATCATCTTCATCATCTTCATCATCATCATCATCATTACTTGCTGTATACTCATCATCATCATCATCTCACCAGGGATAGCTTATTGTTAGAAATAAGTTTTGTGGCCATATTTTTGGCTCCGTTCGGTTTATTCGGCCTTCATGATGACGTCAAAACATCGCCCCGCCTACAACAACGACGCTCAGCCAATCAGAATCGAGATGGACACCATGGCAGCAAAAGACTCCTCTTCTGGTTGGTTCGTTGGATTTTGTTCAGACTCATCCTGGCCGAAGCTCTCACCGGATTGGACGATATTTTTGGAACGGGGGATGGAAAATTTTCTTTCCCGGAAGCTACGCAGAGTAAGTTTTTTTTCTTCTTACGATCTTTTTGATTTTAAATTAAATATCTAAAAATAAATTATATTTATTTTTTACCTAAATAATAATTTATTTATTGAAATAGAAATGTGTTTCTCTCTATTTGTTCTCCATTCAGATCTGATGCATCTGCACGAGAACATTGTTAGTAGCCCGTACTCTGTAGAAGCTGTAGCAGTGGCCAAATTGTGTTTTAAAAAACTTTTAATAGCATCAAATTGAAATAAAGTCGTAATTATTCAGTGTGAGTCAAAAAAAACACTTAATAACGTTAAATAAGAAACGAACCTACTATCCAAAGTTGCTTAAACGTTTCACACACACACATACACACACACACACACGTACACACACACACATACTCACACAAACACACACAGTTGCTACCAACGCCGATAACTTGGCTTCTGTTTTCCCTTCCGTCATCTTTAGTAGCCACAGTGACAGGGCTTCACTTGCTGAGTGGCTTGGTGATGAGCGCTTTGGTCATTTTGCCATCGAAGCGTCTGCATGGTGTGGTCTTCAAATGGGTGGTATGTGGGCAATTTGTGGTTTCTGTAAAAGTTTTTTTGTCATCATTATCATTATCGCCCCCATCAGCATGGTCACATTTGTTGTTGCCATAATTACAAGTGGAAAATTATTAGTTTGATTTATATTTTTATCAAGTTTTTTTTTTGATTAACATCAATAGTTTGTTGTCATATCATCATCATCATCGTCATCATCATCATCATCATCGTCATCATCATCATCATCATCGTCGTCGTCATTTGAAACAGCTGTTGACATTTCTATCTCGAGTCATCTTCAGCAATCAGGGATTCTACCCTCTCCTCGTCATCACCATCTCTCTCTCTCTCCTAGACGATCATTGGTTTCTTTCTTGGAAGAGATACTTCTCCAAGTGCTGTACGTGGATTCTTGCGATAAATTATTTCAAATTTTTAGTAACGTTTCTTTAAAAATAATTAATTTTTATTATGAAATTGAAAATTATATGTATGGAAATTATTGTTTCATATTCAAAAAATTATTTTTAATGACAAAAAATCAGGCAAAACTAGCCAAACCGACACGGCGCCGTTATGCGAGCATCATTCCAAACCGGAAGTGAAGCAATCACGTGACGCACACCCATCGAAGGTGACGACATCATCCGCCGAAGTAGTCAAAGATTCTAAAAAGGAAAAAAAATCCAACGGGATTTCATCGACTTTTAGGGCGATTTTGAAGGTTTCAGCTGGCTTTGCGGTTGTTGCGGCCATTTTGGCTTTATACGGGCTTCCCGCCATCACTCAAAATGGCGAGGATGATAATGATGAGTTGGCGGGAAAAGCTGAGAAAGAAGATGAAGAAAACGCGCACGTTTCGGTGGTGGTATCTCTAATGGGTTAGTGGGTCGATGTGTTTGTTGGCTGGCCGGCTGGTTGGTTGGTTGGTTTGTTGATTGATTTGTTTGCTGGTTGGCTGGTTGATTAGTTGGCTGGTTGATTGGTTTATTTGTTTGTCAGCTGGCTGGATGACTTGCATGCATTTCAAATACTTCAACACGGAAACTCAAAATTCCAAATAAATTTTTCACGATTTCGTCAGCGGTCATCTTGGAATCAGTACACAGCTTGAGTGGCCTGCAGATTCTCGTGTCCATGCTCATAGCCAGCACATCCCTATTTTTCGAATGTGCCCTGACTCTGAAGCGGTTAGGAAATCAGTGAATGTTAATTTTTTGCTTTTGAATTTGTTAATCATTCATTAATTTACCAGTCTATCCGACTATTTATAAATTTATTCGTTCATTCATTCACACACTCATTCTTCATTCATTTATTCATTCATTCATCATTCACTCATTCATTTTCATTCATTCATTCATTCAATCATCCAATCGTTCTTTTATTTCTTCCTGTAATAAATTGTTCAATTGAAAGTATCTCACACCTCAATCGCGATAACGAATGCGGACAATTTATAATTTATTAATTTATAATTAATTAATTGTAAAAATAATTTTTAATAATTGTAAAAAAATTTACAGAGAGTGGCCAAGAAATACTTCTGCCCAATGGCTGGGGAGGTGGCTTGGGAAGGTGAGATTACTCTCAACATGTGGTTTGGTGGTCTTTCTATTCGCTATTTCTCTAGTAAGTTTCAAGTTTTGATGGAAATATATTTAATGAAAATTAATTTTATCTTAAAATTTTATAAAAATATGGAACAGAAATACGATTAAGACAATAATTTCAAAGAAACAACACAGAAAACTTAAAATGAATAAATTTTTCATTTTCCATGAAATAACATCGTTGGCTATCTCGGGTTTCGAACAACCGACAAATGAAATACGTACGAGACATGATACATACAGAGAGAGAGAGAGAGAGAGAGAGAGAGAGAGAGAGAGAGAGAGAGAGAGAGAGAGAGAGAGAGAGAGAGAGAGAGAGAAAGAGAGAAGAGAGATAGAGAGAGAAAGAGAGAGAAGGAATAAAATGAGAGATAACCGAGACAAACAAACCAATGCTGATGCAGGTACCGCTAACATGGTATGATGGCCAAACATCTGGTCAGTACCTGCCGAGTGAGTTGCAAGAAACTTATTTGTGGTCACATAAGCACTATAGACTCGTCAACAACTATGTCACTGCATCAAAGTTTGTGTGTGTGTGTGTTTGTGTCTGTGTATGTGTGTATGTGATTTTTATACTTATGTGAAATTAGATTACATTTTTATTCATCCTTTTAACCAATTGACCAACCAACCAACCAATAAAGCAATCACATCGAATCACGTGGCAACAACTCCACGCAACCAACCAACAGGCGTGTTGAAATAAACGGCTCTCCAATTGGTCGGCTGGAGGTAATTTTTGAGGGCAGTCATTCGTTGAAGGGATCTGATTGGCTGGAGTATTCTTTCAAATTTAAACCAGGAAATGTAAATGTTGTGCCACCTTTTGTCGGTGAGTTATTTTAAAAAGCGTTTTAAAATTTAAATATTTTCAGTAAAAAATAACCAAATTATTTTGAAGTGTAATTTTTGGATTTAAAATTTATGCATAACACCGCCCACCTTTTAGCTCCTCACCATCCACGATTGGACGAGACGTTACATCTTGCCTCACGTGACAGCTACAAAGAACATCATTGGATACTAAATTTAGTCTACAGGCTGCTAACCAATCAGGAAGAAGGTAATGCTTGGTTGACCCGTCACGGTTTCACGAAAGTTTTACTCGAATAATTATTTGATTCTTAATTTATTTGTCAAAAAATCATGCCGATTAAAAATATTAAAATGACTTTGTGAGGATCAAACAAAAAGATACAATAATCTACGTAATCAAAACCACGTGATTATAACCACGTGATCAATATCACGTGATTTAATCTACCAACCAATCAACAACCGGTCACCGAAAAAATTTAAAACAGTATTGGAGTTACTGAAGGAAAGCCCGTTTCAAGATGGCCCGCCTAGGTATATGAGGGCATCATTGTATAGATACAAATTCAACAACAACGACCACAATAACGACGACGAAGATGGTGGTGATGGTGGTAAAGAAAATGAGGATGATGATGGTGGTGATGGTGGTGGAAACGTAGTCGGTGGTGATGATAAAGATGACGAAGAGAGGTTTGTGTAAAGATTTTTTTTTGCCACAAAGTCGTTGTTAAATGAAATATTTTTGGGTTTTTAGTATTTGGTTTGTTGAAATTTTGCAATACAACGTAAAAATTGTAAGACTTTCTGCAATAAGATCCCCAAAGACAGCAGCAACAACATGGTGGGACCGGAAATGGATTGGTTACTACCTTCCGGTACTGTCAATCGACGATCCTAAATTTTCAGAATATTTGAAGTTATCCGGAATAATTAGGGTGAGTCAATCGGGAGATATGTAGATGTACCCGTGTCTTGAGTAGCGTAGTGGTGGAGGTGTTTGTAATTTAAGTGAAAAACTTAAAACAATAATTAATTTTAATTTGAAAGTAAAATAAATTTGCCAGATAGAGGACCGAGTCGGGCAAAGATCTAAAGAATCGAACTGCAAACATTCAAACGTTCTAGGTTCCTTCTTGTCTTTCGTGAGGTCGCTTCTTGGTCAGAGTGACGGAGGTTGCCTGTGCTTGGTCCTCATTTCGCTAGCTCTTCTATTGGCTCACGTTGATTTATCTTCATCATCATCTTTTTCATCATCTTCACCATCTTTTTCATCATCTTCATCGTCGTTGTCGTCAACTCCTTTGGCGACAAAACGCGGGAAATCGCCGCGTCCAAATCAGCAGTGTTCAAATAATGGCGGAGTTAAGACGGTTGACCATGACCAGCATGATCAGACGGATGTAATCAACGTGCCTATTCATTACGTAGATAAGACAAGGATGTAAATAGGGGAAAAAATATTGAATTGTCTTGAATTATGTAGTGAATTAGGATGAATTGTGAATTGTACGGTACGGTTTATTTGTTCCGGTGGGCTGTTTGAATTTGCGAATTATTTTGTAACGTTTATGATTGTGAATTTTCAAAACGGTGATTTATACGGTGAATTATTGGTGGCGTAGTTTTTATTTGAAATATTCAAACAATAGATAGAATGATTTTCTTTTGAAGATGAATGAAAATATTATATCGCACGAATGTTTAGCTGAGTTGATGGTTTTAATGTAATGTAATTCTCATCAGTTTGATAGGAGAGTTAGTGTAGTAGCTTGTGACACACACCCGCACACACACACCCGCACACACACATACAACACACACACGCACGCACGCACACACACAAATATATAGATAGTTTCTATCCATCTATTGAAAATTTCATATCTGCTGAGAAGAAACATTTTTTTAAGGAGTTTGAAATTAATGACATATGACTTTTAAAGTTTTTTATGGTGAGAATTTGAAAATTTACGTCAGAAATAACAATAAAAGTTATGGTAATTCAGATGTGATATCTTCTTTATTTTAAATTAACTAATTGGCAATTAATTATTTAATTAATTTTTCAATTATTTTTTAGTTACATTTTTTTCTTTCTCTCCACACACAACCCAGCCGAACGTTTTACTTGGTTTTAATAAATGCCTTCAAAACTTTTAAATAATTTAATTAAGAAATTAACTAAGAAATTAATTAAGAAATTAATTAAGAAATATTGGAATAGTAAATGATGACGATGATGATGGTGATTACTAACAAAGCCATTGGCTTGCTTACTAACGAAATTGCAATATTTTCATTAAAATTGACAAAAATAATTTCAAATTTCATAATTCAAGGTTTATTGGTTAATTAGTTGATTAATTGATAGGTTAGTTAGATGATTGATTGGTTGATTGTTTGGTCAGTTGATTTGATTCAGCGGTTGATTAATTGATTTATTTGTTGATTGACTGGTTAATTGATAGTACAATATCAAACAGTATCTTAATGAACAAAGTAGTATCATAAAATGAATAAAGATACTTTTTCTAAAAATTTTAAAACTTCTCAATTTGATTTCATCGCGATATCGATAATGATGATTGTGACCTGACTGATTAAAAAGCATCAAAGAAAATTTTTCAGATGGGATGGAGAATTTGTTACGGAATCGTTGGAGGAAATGACGTCATGCTAGCGGTATTCTATACTTAGTGAAATGTATCCCATCAACTTCCATACCAAGAGAACAAGCTTTTTCAAAATCTGGAAAACTGATAGGCATAAAAAGAAATAGATCGCGAGATAGTTCAATTGAAGGGTGTGCGTGTTTAAATGATTGGATGGAATTACTTGGCAAATAAAACTTGTGTATATGTCTTATTTTAATAAATTTTGAATAAAAATATTTTTTAAACCCGCTCGCGTCATTTCTTTGATATCTATTGATAAAGCGAGCAAAATTTTAATATAAAAGCGCTTATAAATCTACGCATATTGGCTCAGCTTGGCTTGGCTTGGCTCGGCTTAAAATTGGATGCAAAACTAGGTGTGGTCTCAAACTATTTAGAATTCACCCAGAAAAATTTGATTTGCGTGCGTACATATGTAACACTGATTACTGTTACTTTTATAATGAATTTATATACTATATATAAAAAACGAGCAAAATTTTAATATAAAAGCGCATATAAATCTACCCATATTGGCTCAGCTTGGCTTGGCTCGGCTTGGAATTGGATGTTAAGCAAGGTGTGGTCTCAAACTATTTATAATTCTCTCCGAAAAATTTGAACTGCGCGTCTACATATATAGCATTGATATATAGCATTGATTATTGTTGCTTTTTTAATAAATTTATATATATATATATATATATATATATATATATATATATATATATATATATATATATATATATATATGTTGGTAATAGACCATAATTTTTTAATAATTTTAATTTTATAGAATATTGTAAATATATATATATATATATTGTAAATATATATATATATATATATATATATATATATATATATATATATTAATTTTATTAACAAATAATTAATAAGATTATATAAAAAACAATATAGCAGATTCAACCAGCCAATCAGAAAGTTTCGAAGGCGTTCGATTGTTGACGTCAATTTAGTACGGTTAGCATTGTGGTTAAGACTGTATAATAGTGTAGTACATACATTAAATAAGTTTTTTACTGATGTGAATAATTGAAATGATGAGAATGTATGGCTGAAACGAGTATAAATAGGAGCTGAGACAGCATGAAAATCAGATCAGGCATTCTGCCTCGCTTAAGGCTTGAAGCGGTCTG